TGTGTTGAGAGCATGCACTCTCTGATAAATTTTTTAAAAAAGAAAAAGATAGAAAAATGTATTTCAGGCAATATTTATTTCTTCCCTTCGGGAGTCCTAGTACTTGTCCACTCACCTGGGAGCCTCTCCCGGGCCAACCCTCTCGAACCCTTGAGAGCGTCTTATTCACATTTCATTGGGCAGCACCCCCACCACCATCACCTTTGGAGAATATAGCGCAAGTACTGGAATGATGTTGAGAAAGCAGTCCTGTTCTTAAAGTAAAAACGTGAACAACTTTAAATTAGTTTTTTTAATTGGAAGAAAAATCTGCATTTTAAGATAATTATTGATAATAAAAATGGCCAAGATTTATCAAGGATTATATGCCAGATACTGTGCTAAGCTTTACTTACTTCTAATTTCTAATCTTAACAAGCCTGTAACACATATGTTTATGCCAGTTTTACAGATAAGGTAACTGAGACCTAGGGAAATTAAGTAATTTGTCCCAGTTCACCTAAGTAGTGATCAGCACAGAGGAAATCCAAACCTGGTTTCCCTTTCTCTAAGCCAGGCTTCTCGATCAGTTATCGTGGTCTATGAAATAAAAGCAGACAGACTTCCCAGCACTACCCTGGCTCTAGAGATACACAGACATAAACACACCTGCATATGCACACAGTTCCTTTTACTGGGGAGCACTTTGTTTTTAATGAGAGATTTTTGCTATCGAGCATGTGAGCTTGCCAGAGAGACAGGGAGACAGCGATAAATCACCCCCCAGGAGGGATGGCCAAGCCACAATCCCTTCTCCTTCATTCTCCTCTTGGGATCTTGGGCATGCATGCTACACGTGCCTGGTGTGAGTTTTAAGCTGCCAGGTCTGGGACTCGAATTGCAGTCGACTATGTGGGAGTCCAGCAATGTAACCATTACACCATCTGCTGGTCTCACTGAAGAACATTCTCTCTAACGATAATTTCTTTTTCCTCTGAGAGTCAATTAGGTTAACATAAACGACTAACCTCTGGAAATAGAATATTCTACTTCCATTTACAGACACCCTCCTGGGCTGGTCTCATAGCCTAGTGGTTAAGGGAGGGATGTCCCACATGGCTGACTAAGGTTTGAATCTTGGCCCTGGCAGCTTGAAAAACACAGTGGGTGCATGTCTGTGCAGGACATTCTGACAGGTTGGAGAAATGGAGAAGGGATTGTGGGGACCATGCCCCATTGGAAGGTGCTTTCTCCATCCCTCCCTGGTGAGTGCATGCGCCCTCTGAGAATTAAAAAAGTGATAATACAAACATGCTCTTGCTTCACTAACACCACCTTCTATTTTTCCTTTCTTTCTGTTTGCCCTGAATCTTCCTTTAACCACGGAGCTGGCTTTTGTTCTCGAACACGCTGTCCTCTCAGCTTCACCCTTCCTCCAAAGAAAATCCGTGAGCTATGCAATTAGGATTGCAGGTAGAATAAAAACAAAAGAAGGCAAGAGTTGTCTAAATTTAAAGTGCTGGAAAATCCAACATTTTATTTACTACATTTTGGTGACTACATAAATGCTGAAACATTTTAACACTGAAAAGCATGATGACGTCATCACTTGCTTTTTTTTCTTTTTTTCTTTTTTGCTTAGCAAACACAGCAGATGATATTGCACGGCATAGAGTGAGAACAGTAGCGAAGCTTAAAAAAAATGAACGAAACCTTAATGCAGTACAGGAGATACTCATAAACGAGCCAGAATAATGCCTAGTGCATTACACTTTTCGTTGCTACGCACAAAAATACAGAAGAAGCATTGGACAGAGAGAAAGAGAGAGAGACAAAATATTAGCAAACAACCATAACTGGGTACAATAATCGTTTAGTCTGAAATGTAAATGCAACGTAGAAACTACCACTGTTTTCTAATTGACAAAGAAAATGACAGCAACATTTGTCTTTTATCAAAAATCTTCTAAGCCCCTCGTGGTTAGGTTTTTCATGAATTAATTACGTGTTTACCTTTTTTTGTTGGTTGGTTTTTGTTTTTCGTTGCTAAGGAAGAACTCCCTCTGCTCTTGGAAGATTTTTCTACTCTACTGATCTTTTTAAAAATTTTATTCTTATTTTTACCTGATGATTGTCTTAGGCACCCTCCTTACATAATAAACCATCAAGCTAACTTGAACAGGGAAACTGAATCACACTCAAATGATGGCTAAGGTCAAGGTGTACTGAAAAATAGAAAAAGAGGGAAGGGACAGGTCTCTGTAAGTGACAGATGGGCTGATTCAGACGGGACAATAATAAACACAGGGACATATGAAGACCGAAGCAAGTGGAAGACAATGTTTTAAAGTTTATTATTATTAATTTTTTTAAAAAATACTCGTCACTTGGTTCAGACGGCAAATCGAAAATGAGCCCACAATGATTATGTAATAAATGCAGAACATACCCCCAAAAAAAAGAGGAAAAAAAAAAAGAAAAAGAAAATCAAGACTAACACAGAAACGGAAAATGTGACTTCATAAACACAACTCTGCTCAGCGCTTCGATGCTGATGGTAAAAGCCGACTCCTCAGCCACTTTCCTGGGTTTTCTGTAACTCCCGCATGACACTTGTATTAAAAAAATTGGTCAATGCTTACTGAGAGAGCACTGAATGGCCCTGCAACTCAGAGCAGATTTATTGCCCTAGTCAAATACACAATGAGTATAAAAATGTTTCTAAGAAAATGTAACATTTGACCTGAAGTCTAAGCCCTCCCTTTTCCTTCCCCACCCCAAACACCCCTGCAAAAGAAAAGAAGATCAAATTCTTGTCTCGAGAGGGAACGTATTTACATCTACGGGTTTCGGACATCGAGTTGAAGCAACTTATTTCAGCAAAATCAAACAAAAGAGCGGGCACCAGCTTCTCTGAGGATGTCACTACTCAGTCTCGAATTCTGTGTGTGCTAAGTTTAGCCAAGCCGTGGATCTGGGGGCCTGGGCAGGCAGGCAGCATCTTTGGCGTGGGAAAGAAGACTCGTGGGAAGATGAAGAGTGACAAGAGACAAACTGCAATGGATCTGGGGTATAGTCACCCCGGGGACCCCAACACTTGAATTCTGCCAATTTTGTTAGGAGTAAGAGCAGCAGAAGGGGTTAATCATGGGTAGCAGATACCAAGAAACAGATGTGGTGAAAAATATGTAACTTGAAAAAGTTTTTTTTTCCTTAAATTTGATGAGTAGCCGAGGCTGAGTATGATGTATTTGCTTCCTCCATGACCTGGCCAGAGAAGCAGGGCCTGAATCAGCTGTTCTCCTGCCCTGACTTTCTCTGGAAGGGCTTGAAGTCATTATACTTCTCAGCTTTGCAGAAGGTACCTGGTCTCTATGCCTGGCCCCCTGCCTTGAAGCAATTCAGAAATTTGGGAAATTTTAGAGGATTTCCAAATTCAAGTTAGCTTGTCTCTGTGTTTTTGCACTCTACTTCTCATACCCACATGGATGGTTAAAAAAAAAAAATCACAGTAAAGTGGCAAAGTATCTCACAAATGCCTGTGCTTTGAAACATTAAAAAAAAAGTATTTCAGGTCTGACCTGCAAAGTAATCTTTCCTAAAAAAAAGTAATAAAATTAATAAATTAAAACAAGAACATGAATAATGCCTTTCTTCTTTCTAAATGACAAAAGGACTACCTGGAAACACTTATTTTGGCATGTACAAGTTTTCTTTTGGGGGGGAGCCTGGCAGTGTTCACAGCACACGTGGAAGTGCCTACTAAGGAAAAGCTAAAGAAACACCCTGCAGTTAAGAGAAGCTCTTGCCTTCAGCTTATCTTAGCATCAAGAACGAAAAGATTGTAACGTAAAGCTTTGGCCATTTTGATTCTACTATATACATTTTTAAAACTACACAGTCATAAATTAAAGCAGTGATTAAATAAGCTCATATAAAATGTAATTAAATTAAAAAAAATCACAGCACAGTATAGAGAAAAATAGGAACCTTTTTTTTTTTTTTTTACCCTGAGGAAAAAAATTTTCTATGAAACACAAAAACTTCTTAAGTAACCATCGAAATGAAAACCATTTCTTATTCCATCCTTGCATTTTTATACAACCCTTAACCCACCTGGGGAACATTTCCAGAAATTAAGTCTTCCTTGAGCAACAGAGCAGTTTTGCCAAGAAAATAAACCCCAAACCAAAGGGAGGGGAGAGGGAACAGCCCAAAACGTACAAACTACAAAATAAATAAGAATTATAAAGTTTTTTTTTTTAAAGTAACCTTAACAATTATCAAACTAGTAAGTTCTGCCTTATCACATAGACTCTCTATACAACATAACCCTAAAACGTTATTACTATGAGGTATTTGGAGGAATCGGTAAAAGTCATGCACGGCCTGTCTGGTAAAGGGACCCGGTGAAGTGGGAACTGGGGACGTCAAGAGGGATTGAGGAGGAGGAGCTTTGGTTTATCAGCAAGAAATTGGGAAAAAAAAAAAAGTCATCCTTTGGTATCAAAGAAAGTTTCATTGCATGGTTGCACGGAAAAAGCACCACGGTGAATAATTATTCCTTTTTTTTTTTTTTTTTTTTTAGGGGCCTTTCTAAGAGGCTGAGGTATTCAAAGAGTATAAGGTGAGAGAGGTCAACAGCGGTTTAACACTTTGGTTGAAGCAAGGCACTCGTCCTAGGAGTTTACAAAGTTAGCAACATGTTTGCCTAGAGATTTACAAGAACTAGCAGTAATAAGAGGAGTATTTCCTAATGTTGTTGTCATCATTATTGTATCATTATTAAGAATGAAGACAGGTTTACGCACTGAGTGAAGTGAGGAGGGGAGAGGAGGTAGGGGAAGGGGAAGGGTGGAGTTCCCTCTGCAGACCAAGGCCGTGCACGCAAATATCTTTGGTATTCTTTGGTATCATCAATGTGATTAAAATCACCAATGGAAATTGAGTGAGGTAGCGTCTTTGGTTCACACTATAAATAGTAGATCTTTTACTTTTTTTTTCTTTTTTTTCTTTTTTTCTTTTTTTTTTTTACACGTGGAAGTAGCTATTTCTTACCTTCTGCTTCTTTGTCCTTACTATATAGGAAATAGTTACCAAATGCACTGGAAAGCTAACCACACCACAGTTACAACCCAGAAGGCCAAACATGTTTCCAAACAGCCTCTGGAGTTTGAATGCACCCTAAACAACTAGATAGAAAAGGGAGAAGTGCTTTCTCTTTGTTTGCTAAATGCATAGTTTTCATCCTTTATGTACAAAGAAGGGAGGACCTTTCTTAGGGAAAATGCCTTTATAGCTCATGTGAAAATGTCCTAGGACTCTTTGGTATAGCAAAGTTTGCATTTAACCTGCAAAGACAGTCATTCACCTGGGGTAGCAATGGGAGTGGAATGAGATTAAAAGTAGCATAGTGCTTTTAAATTTTCCTGAAAAAAAAAAAAAGTATGCTTTTTTCTGGGGTAGGGTGGGGTGGGGGCACAGTGAGTGACATACGTGTTCAGTTAGAATTTCCAGATTTTTCTACACATTTTCTTTGGTCTTTAGGGTCTATTTCAGCTGCATCCCAGGGACTGGAATACTCAATTCCTGACATCTAGAACTCTTTTACCTGAACGTGTACTGAAGTCTGGGTTTGGGGAGGTATCCAGACTTCATACCTCCTGGCCCGCTTTCAGGAAAGCTTCCAGTCATGAGAGGACCTGAATGATTTATGGCTAAAAAACAGACTAAACCTCCATTCTACCAGAAAAAAAAAAAATTTGAAGTGCAGTTTTGAAATAGACACACAAATGAAAGGGTGACGACCTTCCTGTGATGAATTTTGTGAAAGGACTGAGAAAGGGTGGGTGAACAAATGGCCCATGATCTCTGCTCTGTGGGGTGTGGTAGGTTAAACACTCGAGCCATACATGAATGCTAAGTTGAATAAAATGGAAGCATTTTTCCTACATGCCAGTTCAGAAGCAAGTAAAGGATCAGTCCTATCTGATACAATAAGTATATTGCTTGTGAGAAGTGAGTTTATCCATTATGATTTCTAAACAGCAAGGGTGGTGAGTATGCTTAAATAGTCACATAAAAAGTCACTTTTCAGGCTCTGATTTGTGCATCTGTTTATGAGAAAATATATCTCTAGGCCCTGAAATTGCATAATGGGTGCAAATTCAATGCTGGTATGGAAATTATCTTTGGTGTTAGCAAACAGGATAACTGGTTATTTAAAAAAATTACATGGAATATTAAAGATGTAGTAAATATTCTTTGCAACTGTGCCTACACAATATCAAAATAATTGGTCAAAAATGCAAAATGCAAAATGTATTCATTGGGAGGTAATAGAGTAAGACAAAGCAAAGAAAAAAAAGGAAAAAAAAACCGTGGTTGGCTGAATTCAACTTTGATTTTTTCTGGAGTATTGAATTTGGTAAGATGTGTGTAGACACAGCTTAAATTTCCCTGCATTTGAAAATCCCATGTTTTAAGCAAATAAGGCTTTCCTTCCTGCTAATGTATAAATATACTTTATAGCTGTCCCTTTAGCCCTCTCATTTCTCCATTCCTGGAGAGAGAGGAAACAATAATCAGTTCTGTTTCTTTTTGTTTATGTCATTGACGAGATTATATTTTTAGCAAACCTTGAAGGGTGGCCATTTAAATGGTTTCTTTTAACGGCTGAACTATAATTGTGCCATATTTAGAAGGGAAAATCTTAAGCTGGTATTCTGGGTGAAATGAAAAAAGTTACTAAGACAAAGTATGTCAAGACAAATGCAGTATTTCATCAAAGGAGAAGTGCATGTTGGTTTCTTGTCCCCGTTCTATGATAGACATGAGGGAGAGAGCCAGGTGGCTGGTTGGGTTAGTTTACATTTCTAGGGTGTTACCTGTTTTAGACCTAGACAAGATGGGGAGGCTTCATCCTATGAAGTTAGGTCTTGTGTAGGATGGTTTCATTTCTCTCTCCTGTGGCATTGTAATGAATCTCAATAAACAACTTATTGTTAGGATAACGTTTAATTATATCTTTCTAGTTTGGTGTGGTCATTAACGAAGAGTATCCAATTCTTTACCTAATGGTACAATAGGCATCCACTTATATAAATTATAATTCAAATGAATTTATAGAGAGAATTTTTCTGGGAATCAAGTGATTCACTGGGGTATCAGAGTACAATTTTATTTACCCCTCCCCCTCTTTTGGCATTGGTTTCTATAGCTCCAGTTATTAGGAAAAATAAAGATTTAAAATTTTGTGTTTGGAGGCTCGGGTCTAGGTTTTTTCAGTTCTTGTTAGAGAATGAAATCTATATTATAAAGCTGCCAGCTTCATGCAATTAGCAAGAAAGAATGTAGAATGCTTTGGAGGCTATGCTTAGTGACATAAATTACTTAATACCTATAAGTCTATCTTCCAGTAAAACTGGTTTTTACTATGCAGTTCTACCAATTCCACCATTATTCAGTGGCACCTGCTATTTTATGGATGTTTAAGCCATAAACTATCTGGAATTGACAATAAAATCAGTCTGATTGCTTTTTGGGATGGTTGCAAATATTGGACATTTCATTTTCAGAATAACATTGGGCTGCTACTTTTGGGTGTTAGTAAAGCCTTTTAAAAAACTAGATGATGCCAACTGTGTAAAGCAAACTGAAGTCAAAGTAATCTAAGTATAAGGATTTTATTTTTGTACTAAAGAGCCTGACTTTGAACAGATTTCTAAATCAACCTGCCCTGTTAGACTTCATTTTCTAGTGTATGGGTGGCGGTTTGCTTTGGAAAGATGCCAGGTTTTCTTTGCTATGAACAGATTATGGAATCATGTCGTTCTCTCTACCGAGGTGACATTTATGGACCCTGAAAAGGAGTGTGCCATTCGGATGTACGTGTGTACTGGATCGGCCTCTCTGCCATGACAGTAATTGCTTCCCTGAAGCTACATTCTTTCTTGCCAGTTCTGAAAACTCATATTTCAAATGCGTCAAGAGTCATAAATAATAGTCATGATTCTATGTGGCGTGTGTATTACAGCTAGATCAGTTCATACGTATAACTTTACATAGTATCTTGTGTAAAAATAGCTTTGGTTATTAAAATCATTGCAATAAAATACCTGCACTATAATATTAAGTGTGTTCTTTGGTACCTAGGTGATTATTTTTTTTAATGGATGGACTCTTGTTTCATTTCTTAAAAAATATCTGAACATTCCTTAACAAACAAAGAGAATGCACTGGTTTAGGTGTCATTCAAAGTTTCTTTGCTGGGTTTGAATCTGCATGGAGGTTGCGGGCCTGGCAGGTTCAAACGCTAGGCTAGACAAGCAACATCAGACTCCTAATCAGAACTCAGACAACTCCACCCCGTGTTGGTCGCACCCCTATGGCACAACCCTTCCTGAAGACCAGCCCTGCCTAAGTCCCTAACCACTGGTAGTGCATGTGTGTGTGTGTGTGTGTGTGTACACATGCACACATCTGTGCACAGTACTGAGACACCATACACCTTCATGGTGTGGTAGTACAGATGAGAAAAGTCCAATCTTAAATGATGTCCACTCAACAGCTCAGAATCACCATGCTCCCAACCACTAACCAGCCAAGCACAGTGAAAATGATCATGGATTGAAGGTGTGAGATCCAGTGGTGTTTTCCTGCTCATAAATTTTCTTGCCAAGTCGTCGCCCCGCTGAAGTGTGTGTGTCTCCAAACAAAGTCAGAATGCAGGTGAGCTAAGTCTTTGGTTTCTTTGGACTATAAATAAGACTTTTTTTTTTTTTCTTCAAATATTTCTAAGTATAAACCTGCTATCTTGAGGTCTTGGTCTTTAAAAATTTTTTTTTTTTTAATTTAAAGCTTTTCCACCGAGGTTTTAGTTTGTGGTTCTTCCTTCATGCTTTGGTACAAGTGCTTGATGAAGAAGATGAGTTGCCTGAATTGGAGCTGCCCTCGTCCTGCCACTTGTCCAGACTCCTCCTCCTCGCATTCATGAAGAAGTTGCTGACGGTGCTCAGCTCCAACCCCAGCTGCTGGGAAATGGTGATTTGCAATTCTTTGGATGGACGCTTATTCTCCTTGAATATTGCATGTAGAGTTCGACGCTGGACATCTGTGAAGACCAACCTGGGCTTTTTGGGTGTGTTGCCTCTATCCTTCCCGTGTTCCTGCTCTTTCCTTTTGCATGCTGCAAAGAAGCACAGAAGACATTAGAACAAAAGAGAACCAAGACTAAGAAGGTAGGGTCAGTAACATTTGTTAGCCCATCCTCTGACCTGCTTTCTGTCTGCTAATCTCTGATGTAAGCACAGGGGACTAGGAGGGAAGTGCAATGAAAGAATGAGAATTGGGATGCAAATGGAGTTCTGGAAGACTTGGCCTTGGCTCTGGTTTGGACAAGTATCTGTTCTTTGTCCTTGGTGAGAAGGAAGGATCTGGGCCTCAAATTCCTCCTCTGGCTAAATGAGATTATCACTCTGAACTTTCATTTCTACATTTATAAAATGGATATAAGAATAACTGCTTTGGGGCTGGCAAGTGGCATGATGGTTAAGGACACTGGACTCCCACACAGCCGACCACAGTTCAAGTCAGGGTCCTGGCAGCTTGCCTTCTCACTTTCCCTCTCTCTCTCTCTCACTCTATCTGTCTCTGGTCAAATTAAAATAAATAAATAAATAAAATAAAAAAGTTAAGGGAACCAGCAGTTAGCGTAATGGCTATGTCGCTGGACTCCCACGTAGTTGACTGCAGTTCGCGTCCCGGACCCGGTGGCTTAAAACTCACGCCGGGCATGTGTGCGTGCATGCCCAAGATCCCAAGAGGAGAATGGAGGAGAAGGGATTGCGGCGTGACCATCCCCCCTGGGGGGGGGTGATTTCTTGCTTTCTGTCTCTATGTCTCTCTCTGTCTGTCTGGTGAGCGCATGCGCCCTATAGTGAAAACCTCTCCAAAAAAAAAAGTTAAATAAAATAAAATATGTTTTTAAGGCACTGGCTGGTGATGTGGTGGTTAAGAGTGCTGGACACCCACACGGTCAACCATGGTTCAAGTCCCGGACCTGGAGGCTTGTTTTCTCACTTTCTCTCTCTCTCTCTGTCCCTGTCTGGTCAAATTAAAATAAATAAATAAATACAGTTAAATAAAATAATTCTTAAAAATTAAAAAAAAAGAATACCTGCCTTACTGGGTGGTGGTAAGAAATAGCATATGTAAACGTTTATGCTCACTTTACAAACACAGAGTATTGTCAGGAAGCTGTGGCTGGAGCCCTCTACAGGTTTACAAGTATGCTAGCGGTAGATGATTAAGAGCCTAATTTAAAGTCTAAAAACATAATAAAAGGAACTGCATTTTCCCCCCTTCTTCTCTTTTTTGTTTGCTTTTCAGGAAGCTCTGTGAGAACACCCTGTACACAGTGTCCTGTCATGCCCATCAAAGTCTTCCTCTGATTCTTTGGTGGAACCAGGAAGTGTGGAGGAGTGAACAAATCTGTCTTCCTTGCCATCAAGGCTAAACCTGTCAAGCTAGTCCATGCTCTCCTTTGAGGTCTCTGCGTGACAACTTCTGCTCTATACGGAAGTCTTGCTGTTAGAATCTCCCTTCTCCCTTACCCAGTCCCCATGGAGAAGGCACATCCCCTGCCCACACTTTCTAGGACGGAATCATAACGCTGCTCGTCAGCTGCTAGAGCTATTCTGGGGCCTCATTCCAGTGGGGTCCTCAGGCCCCACGGTTTGGTGCTGGACCAGGGTTTCTCATCTTTCCAGTCTAATGTGACTGCTAGCTTCCACCTGCCAAAGAGCACTAAGGGCTGCATGCTAGCAATACCGTCTCACCTTTCTATGTACATCCTCAATCAATGGCTATAGCCATCCCTAATAATCACACCCCCAAGAGAAAGTAATGCTCTGGTTATGCAAACACAGCTCTCAGACAAGCCCCTGCTCTGTCGCCAATCAGATGGCTACCTCTCAGCCCCGTCGAGGCCTTTGGGAACAGGCACAGCCACCTTCATGTCTGGTTGGTTGTGCTATCACTCTCATAGCGAGAGGAGGGGAGTGCTTCTTGGTAGGAGCAGGGACTGCCACCCTTGTATACCTTATACCTCCAGCTGGCTGCCCTGCTGGTTGGGGGGTCCTGCTTCACCTTTACTCTGGGTTCTCGATTCCTTGCTAATAGTTCCTGGGCTCTGGCTACGCTCAGCCTCTGTGCTTTCCCCGGGTAGCTCTGCTCCTCTGCCTGTCCCTGCCTTCCACTGCTCGCTGTTCCAGATCCTGCAGGACAGAGTTCTAAAATCTTGTGTGCTCTGTAGTACAGATTAGCTCAGAAATCAGATCAGATGAAGACCTAACTGGGTATGGTGCTGGCAGGTGGCATGGTGGTTAGGCATGCTGGACTCCCACATGGCTGACTGTGGTTCGAGTCCTAGACCTGGTGGCTTGCTTGCTTTCTCTCTCTCTCTCTCTGTTCCTCTCTGGCCAAAATAAAATAAAAAAGAATAATAAAGATAAAAATAAAACAATTCTTTCAAAAAAAAAAAAAAAACAAACTGGGTGAAAGCTAAAGAAGCATCCAATCCTTTTTTTTCCCTTTTAAGAAAGATGTTAAATGAAAAAAAATTTTTTTAAAATAAATAAAGATGTTATTTATTTATTTATTTTTGCTATAGGGCACATGTGCTTGCTAGGGAGACAAAGAGAGACAGAAAGTGAGAAATCACACCCACCCACCACCCTGAGGGAGATCAAATTAAATAATAATAATAATAACAACAACAAATGGAAATAAATAAATAATTCTTTTAAAAAAAAGGAGTATAAGAGCTTACAGGATATTACCTCTGCTTGAGGGTATTAAGGCAGGTTTAAAAGAGGAGCTGCTAAAGATAACCTTAATGATGAATAGAGGTTTGGGGGTGAGAGAGGTGGACAAAGTCACTCCCAGTCCGGGGAGCAGCATTTGGGAAAGATTAATAAGTACGAGTAGATCGGAATTAATGGGGCAAAGATGCATGCAAGGAAAAAAGAAACTGTAGATAAGGCTTCGTGGGTAGGTGGAGATCAGATCTGAATTATCTTACGAGTCAGGAGAAATTATGGGAAGTTTTTTTTTTTTTTTTTTTTTTTTTTTTGAGGTTTTTTTCTGAAGGACCGTGGTCCGG